GGGATATGACAGCAATTACAAAAAGGGTGAGGAAGACTTTCTACCATAACATAAATTTCGAGGCTAATAAGCGTCATGAATCCATGTTTCGTCGGATCCGCAAAAATGCAAAAAATGTATTCCAGCTTGACCCTGAAAAGCTTTCCAAGGCGGAAACAAATGGTTGGTACACGTCTGTTGAGGATGCTGAGCGCGCGCTTAACCACCCTGGCTCCAGCACACTTCACTTGATTGCAAGTTGTATGTCGAATACCTACTTGAGCGCCGAAAGGGATATTTTGATTTGACAGAGCATTATCATAACACACAGACCCTTGGCAAGAGTCGGAAATACAACGGCAGCAGCTCAACTGATCCTCTCCACTGCAAGCTCCGCTATCTTTCCTTTATTAACAGAAATCATACCGACGACAAACTTGCAAAATATTTACGTGCAAAATATGGGCCAGATCTGGTCCTAATTCTTGGCAATTGAACCCCAGGCATGACCCGTTACTGTTACAATAAAAAGTATTATTTAACATGAACTAAAAAAGCTAATGAGTAATGGCATCAATCATTTGTGTTACTCTACTATTTATATTGCTCAGATGCAATATTCTCGCATGTCTGAGTCAGGAATTAACGGGTGTTTGATTAATTAATCACTGGGAACAAGCCTCATTTCCTTGTATCACAGTTACCATGAGCCAATTCATGGCAAGGGGCTGCGAGAAATGCTAATAGACCAGGGATTTACTGTTTATGTTGGGCATACATTTACTTAGTGCTCACAAATAAAATGGCAACTGATGGGCATTGGGCTACAAAGACAGTCATAAAAAGGGCAAAACAACATTTATTAGTTCTCTCTTCTCTTTTCCTGGGTTTTGAATATATATTTATGAGTACATTGACTGAATTCACTCGTTAACATGCAAGTTTATATTTTGGCAGACGTGCCCACTCATCAAGTTTTAAAAATATAAAGAGAATAAATTGTTTTACACCTCACAAAAAATGTTATGCTCTAGGAAATGTGGGTCTAAACTAATATATTTTAAGTATTATAAATTACTTCAGGAACTAAAAAAGGGGCAGCGCTGTGTGGACAGCGCTGTGGATATAATGTTGCTCCTTGATGTCAGCCAGCAATAACATAAATGTGTATAGTGGCCATGAGGGCGATCTTGATTCTTGAAAAGGGAAGATAGTGGCTTGAAATGTGTGTTGGGCACCACACTTCCAACCTAAGCACTTATTACCCACCGATTATAAGCAATCTTAAAGATGGCCAAAATAGAATGCACCAAATAAGGATGTTCAAATACTTTTGAAACTGAACCAGAAATGAAATACCACCTTAAAACTGCGCATCTTAATGAAGGGAAGACCAAAGCATGGTGGTAGGTATGATATCAATTAGAGCAATGACACGTGACAATTGCGATTACCTTTAATTGTGGTTATATTTTACTGCTCGCAGTTTTCAATTGATAAGGGGAGCTTCTTTAGCTCCCTTATAGTGGATTTTTAGTGGTTATATTTAATAGACTATTTATTGTTATTACAGTGTTAATGCATGGTATGATAGTTGGATAATGAATGCCGTTGATTATTAGCAGCAGCTTCTATGCAAGTACTTCATATTTTTTTAAAAATTTATGTAATTTGATTTGTTTACAACAATACTTGATGTACAAAAAATATTTATACCGTAATAATGTTATAATGAGAGGGGGTGTGGAGAGCACTAGTTGTTTACTGTTAAAAAAATGGTGTTTAATTTATAAAAGGCTTTATTACTGATGTTTCTAAAATGCTACTAGGACCGGCCTCATCTTATATATGTGCCTCGTTGCCTTTGTTGTGCAAATTGCCAATTGTGTGCTCCGTTGATAAGAACTGGATCTTCTGTAGGCAGACCGGTATCTTGGCAAGTTAATGTGGTTTTTATGTGTGTGCACTCACGCGTGTGCATTGCAAAATGGGGAGCATGTTTGGGCATCAGTGTAATGTCTCCCTAACTTATGCCTACATGATTCAATTAGTGCCCTATCAATCGGCATGTAGGTGGAAACCTGTTTCACGATTCTCAACCTCAACATCCACTTCCATATCTTCAGTCTGTGCAACAATAACATTATTATATTGCTTTTTATTATCATTTAACGACCACAAAGTATAATTTTTTGTATTTGATTATAAATAAATATATGTTGAAATCTCATTTAGAAGACATGAGTTAACCATTTGTTATTTTAATGCTGGCTAACAAATTGTATGTATCTACAAATAATACATAATATTGTAATTGAAAAGTAATGTTTACTTTGCTGAAATTGCTAGTTGGCAGCCCATAGGGTATCCAAACACTTGCGCTCCAACCTCTGCCTAGACAGAATATTTGATAAAGCATCATACATGCCTGCGCCTGCGTCAATGCCGCGTAATTTACTGCCCTTAGGCCTTCTGCTTTCCCCCGTTACCAAATTGACTAGCATCCAGAACAAACATTGTTTTGAGTGGCATTTCTCTTTTTTTAGTCATTTCGGACATATCCAATTCCCCATTATCCAGATCCCGCATGCCATTGACGCTATGCGCAAAAATGCTTTTGACACCCTGGGAGGCACGCTGAAGTATCTTGCAAGTGTCAAAAATGGTGTTGGTAAGAAATAATTTTTTTGTTAACAAAATTATTTTATTTTATCTACAATCTATAAACTGCAGCCGGTTATTTAGACTTGAGTTTTTAAACGATTGAATGGATTTCTGCACTATAGATGCTAATTTATCTGCATGCATGAATGAGAAACAATAAATAAAATTTGTCTATAAAATAAATTAGCATTAATATTTTTCAGCAATGCCTGACTATATTTATTTGCTTGCCATATTTTAGCGTGTTTATTTATTTTGTCATTTATTTTTCCTTTATTTTTTGTTTAGTTTAAATCCAAACTTGCTGCTTTCTATATTTACACATTTCATTTAATATTTTATTTTTAAACCAGTATGACAAGCGTATACCTCCCCGACAACATTATTATAATACGCAGCAGCTGTTACACAAATTTGCCGTGCTGGTGGGCGTGTGTCAGTAATGGGAATGGCTTGCACTGCCGATTATCTGCTCAAGCGCAAAAATAAAGTACACCGATGTATGCAGACATGCCAAAAAGCCAAGTTTGCATGCAGTTATAACAATGGATATTACCGGGATCTTGGTTTTTGGAGGCCAAAGCCACGTTAAAACAATGTTAATCAGCATTGATACTTACAAATAAGTCTCGGATATGCTGGCGGCTTTGGTTTGCGAGCTGCAACAGGCAGGTGTTTTGTGGACTAGCGTTAAAACTAAACTTTAGGTTTTACCAGAGTAGGTAGATTATAGGCGACTATGAACCCATGATTTTTAATGGAAATGCAAATGACATCTATTTGAAAATATTGCTAATTTGGCCGATAGATTCCCAGGCGTATCGCAACTCCACACTGACACCCACAACTCCTATAACAGTGACAGTGTGTTTGCCAAGCCATTTGTTGACGAGTATGCAGCCAGGCTGACAAGTGTGATACAAGAAATTGCGGCTTGCCCCCAGTGAGTGATTCATTAATCAATCACTAGTTAGTTTCCTACTTGGATATGTGGGAATTCGTATGCATATATAAATATCAATGAATATGAACAATGGAGGCTGTTCATCCCTTAGCTTTTTTTAGTTCATTTTTCGAATATATATATACTTTTTAACACAACAACAAGTCTCACACATACTCCTGTCTATTCGATTTCTGCATCAGCATTTTTGGATAAGCTCGTTTATCTCAGGCTATATATTGCAAAGCACATTGTCAATTGTCTGCTGAGAATACACTCCGGCACGCTTGAAATCCTAAATTTGCGTAACTCTCCTGCTAACCTTCTGGGAACTGGACTTCTAGCTGACAGCCAAACTCCTGGACTTATCAACTTTGGCCGACTGAAGAGGCTGCATGTTGACTTTGTTTTACCTTATGCGCATCAGAAAACCACGTTGATTCTGAATGTAGTCATGGCTTTCAGATGGGCTTCTCTGTTATTGATCACCTGTATCTAGACTACCCAAAACAGGATACCTGAGTATTCAGAAATGTGTTGTTCCCCACGTATATTTCCAACATCTGTGAAAAAAACTATTTTTAACATCAATAAATCTTGTATTATACTAAATTCCCAAAATTCCTTCCGAGAAGCCTCCTATTAAATATTCCCTAATTTCCCTTTTATAGGCAATGTAAAACTTCTCAAATTCCACTGTATAAATGCCCATTCGGAATTAATGCAGTAGCTTGTGGTCTTTCGGCTTAGACAAGCTCATATGATGCTCTGTCAGCACATTGACGAGTATTGCACCTCAACGTTTTGCCCGGCATGTGGGAGCAGGATGGAGAAATTCCACAAAATTGATAATCCTCCTCTGAAGAATCCCAAGCACAAGGACCATATCGCAATGGCAGCAGCAGCATCTGATTCTATCACAACTTCAACCACTTCAGCTGCTGTATCTGTCGCAGCAGTAACCACTGCCGTTTTTGTTGCAACTAAAACTGCCGCCAACGCCGCATCTATTACAGAAAGTGTACAGCAGAGTCGCAACCAATGAATGCCTATTCACCCACAGTCTGCTGATATCATCCGGTGGATAGGAGATAAAAAGGGCTGGCCTAAGGACAAAATTGACAGCAAAATTAGGCAGCAGGTGCAGGATGAGAAGGCTGAGCGAAATCGGAAGCAATGCGTTAATATCCAGCCTGCTGATAATCCCAAGCGCATTGTCAGGCTGAGCGGCTGGTCGCAGGGCAAAATTAAGCGCAAAATCAGACAGGGGATACGCGATGCGTTGGCCGCGCGGCAGCAGAATGGTCGGTAGTAGTAGAAGCAGTAACAGCAGCCAACTGCAACAGGCGGTAATATAATTCCGGTGGTAAAAGAACCTTGTCAAATTATATGCTACAGCTTTCTCCAGTATACAATGGAAGACTGCCTGAAAACCTTCAGGGCCGACGGAACCAAGACCAAGAATAGCGAAAAAGTGCCATCAGGCAGACGGAAGTGGAATAATCGTGGCATGGCTGCGGTGCTAAACTTTCGCATCATTCTTAATGCTCTGCTTACAGGCGAGCGTCCTCCCCATTTCTTGTGCGAAAAGGCATCGTCAGAGTCGGCTGAACCAGAGTCTACAGCGAGACCCGAGACTCTGCTCAAGCCCAAGCCCAAGCCCAAGCCCAAGCCCAAGCCCAAGCCCAAGCCCAAGCGTGTGCGCAAGAACCCTTCTTCCCTTGCTTCTTTTCAAAAGAAGCAGCGAACTGATTAATGTTGTTAACCATAGCGGTCTATTGCCACTAACTTCTAAACACCTTATATCTGGGGAAGGATGTCAGTTTGAAGTATATTTGTAACCTCATTATTTTCTTATAGTGTATGGGCAATCACCAAAAAATAGATAAAAGTGAAAAGTTTGTGTAACCACACGCGTTTCTCTGCAGTTTTGCTGGCGTATTTGGCGCTGCGGATTATAATAACTAAAAAGATGACTGATATATAATAAATTTAGTCAAAGAAATACTATAAAAACCTAGCGAACTTGCCACGGTTTTAAAACCCCAGCGAGCCTATCGCAGTTTTATCTCCTAAGCCACATGCGACTCGACTTGACCGTGAAAATTTTCCTCTGCTTGATTGCCAAACATCATTGACCGCGATCGAGTTCTGTAACACTTGCAATTCTGCCTTTTGAAATTTGAATTTCGTTTATTTTTTGCGTTTCAATTCCCCTTCCTTTTTAAACACACACGAATACAATGTTCGCGATATCAAAGGCCGTGTCGGGGATCTTCACAGCGACCAGCATTTCACAACTGCGAGTTTCGGCCCCAGCTGCACTCCAGCAGTGCTTTTACTCGTCACACAAGCCAAAGACGAATGCGCTAAAGTCAAAGGAGAAGGTACGTTTTTTTATTTGCTTACTCATATTCGACTGTCACTATGTGTGCCTACTGTGCCAGGTGTATCTGGTCCTTAGTTTTAGTCAAGCTGTTGTATACTAATTACAGTTTCTCCCCGAATATATCAATGTGATAAACATTTTTCATGTCTGCAAGTGTAGGGCAAGCTGCGCCGCCAGCGGGTTAACAAGACTGACAAGCCTGTGCAGGCCAAGCGCGGGCCCCGTGTATCCAAGCTTTAGATTTTTTTCATTACAAATCAAGTCCAAAAAATACAATTCACGTGACTCCAATCGACTCATTTTTTTCTTTTCATGTCAAGGGTCAACCACGCCTTTGGCATTTGTCTTTCTTCCCTTGTGAATTCAATCAAATTATTTTTTATTCGCATTGTTTATCTCTTCTTTTTTACTTTTTGTTTTCATTTATTCAAGTACTCAATCAATTTCGCTCTCTTGATTATATCGAGAGGCACATAAAATATATCTAGCTAGCACAACTACATTACACTCTATTCCACGAGAATCAATGGCGCCTGGGAAGGGAAACAAACAAGAAAAGGCCGCCGCCGCCCAAAGCAATGTTCTAGTGGCCATCGTTCTGGCCGACTCATTCGATGACTTGTTCCAGCCCTTGTCGTTCAACAAGCCGCGCTGTTTGCTGCCCCTGTGCAATGTCCCGATGATCGAGTACACACTCGACTTTTTGGCCTCCTCGGGTGTCAAGGAAACAGTGGTCGTTTGCAAATCGCACTCTCAGGCCATCGAGGCGTATATCAAGCAATCAAAGTGGATGCGCGCCCACTCTCCGATGAAAATTAAAATCACCATCGTGCGAAAGCCCAACTCGCTCGGCGAGGCCCTGTGCGAAATCGACGACACGCCTTTTGTCTCTGACTTTATCTTGTGCACAGGCGTTGTTATCTCTAACATGGACTTGTCGCAGCTGGTGAAAGCGCACATGGCCAACAAGCATAAGGACCCTGAACAAGTCATGACTATGCTGTTACAAGAGGCTACGCCGTCCCACCGCCTCCGTGACAAGAGCGAGGAGTCCGTGTACGTCATCAACCCCAGAACAAACAGGCTGTTTTCGCTCGACTCCGTCTCCTCGCTGCCCAAGACCAATGAACTAGATATCCCAATCAGCGTTATCACGGATAACCCCGAGGTCGAAATCCGCGCCGACCTTATCGACACCAACGTTTACATTTGCTCTCCCCTCGTGTTTTCGATGTTCAGAGATAACAGCGATTACCAAACTGTGCGGCGCGACTTTATCCACTCCATCTCGACCTCGCCCCTGGAGAGTGCGACCTTTTACGCGCATATTTTGGCTGGAACCAGCAGCATTGGCGCCGACGGCCGGACCACGATCAATCGCAGCGCTAGTGGCCGCCGCGGTGTCAGCAGCCGGGGTGCGGGGTCTGTTGGAAGCAAGGACGAAGGCGGTATTTTGAACCATGATCTCGCGTACGTGAGCCACAGTGGCTATACGGCAGGCGTTATTGACACGTCATCATACGACGCCATTAGCCGCGACCTGATCGCAAGATGGGCATATCCGCTGTGCCCCGACAGCAATCCAGCTGACGAAACCGCGTATAGCTACAACCGCGGGGCCGTCTACAAGGCAGACTCGGTGGTTCTTGGGCGCGAAAGCCGCGTGGAGCATCATGTGATGCTCGGCTCCAACTCGCACGTGGCTGACTTTGCACAGGTTTCGGACTCGGTTCTGGGCACAAGCTGCCGTATCGGCGAGTTTGCTACGGTGCGCGGCTCGCACCTGTTTAACGAGGCCAAGATCGGCAAGGGCTCGGTGGTTGAGCGGTCGATCATCGGCGAGCGCGTGAATATCCTGGATAATGTGTTTGTCGAGCGCGGGTGCATCATTGGAGATGACGTGACAATTGGGCCCAATGTCCGGGTCCCCGAGTTTACTCGTATTGCACGCTGGCTGCCCCAGGAAAACGGCGACGACTCTTCCGATTCAGAGAACTATGCGTCGTCCGATGACGAGTCTGGCTTGGACTCCGACTCGGACTCGGACGAAGGCAACGGTAAAGGCACTCGCAACACGCGCACCAGCGGCTCGGCCGACGAGAGACCCACCGCAGCTTCGGCAGCGGCGCCCGGCACTACTGGCAACGCTTTGGAGCTCGAGTCCTTCGACCTGAATCTCGTGGGAACATCTGGAGTTGGATATGTGTGGAGCAACGTGATAGGCGGACATGATCGTGATGGCGTGTCTGCCAACACGAGAGCGTGGCTCAGACGGCTGCGCACCGTAGGCTCTGTCCTTGGCGACATTGCAACCGCCGAGGAAGATCTGTCCAATGAGCAGGTAGTCAGTGCATCGGCCAAGGTGTCAGACGAGTCGTTCGAGCATGAGCTCCGGCAGTCGATCAAATGCTCGTTTGAAAGGGACTATGACGTTGGCGTCGCGGGCTTTGAAATCAACAATCTGCGGTTCACATTCAATGGGTCGCAGGAGGACATTCGGCGAATTGTCACCCAGGAGATTCTCAAGTCCATCGACGTGAGCGCGCTGCCTGGCTCGGCCGAGCACGTGGTCTCCAGGTGGGGCGAGCTGATCAAAAGGACGGTAAGCAGCAACCTCGAGCAGGTCAATGTGGTTGACATTGTCGAGCGGTTCTGTGCTCTCGACAGGTCCCTCGAGGAGAGCGTGCGCAGCCGTCTCTTTTTGCTTGTGTTGCGCTTTATGTACGAGCTTGACATTGTCGAGGACATGGCCATTGTCTACTGGTACAACAAGGCGTCTGAAAAGGCCGACGGCGACGACGTCAGCCAGGATCTGGTGCAAAAGATCGCAACATTTGTCGAGTGGCTGGAGGAGTCCAGCTCCGAGGACGAGGAGGGCGAAGATTCTGGCTCCGACGAGGACGAGGACTCTGACTAGACCACCGGTGCGACAGACAGTGGGGGTAAAAGCAGAACGGCTACTTGGCCAGAGCACGCTTTTCATTTATTTTTATAGTTACGAATTGATGTGCATAAGCGCAGAAACGACGTGAGGATTGGGCCTATATCCAACAAAAAGATCAATGCCAGAAAAAGCAATTGTGTGTATTGAAGAAAGCAAAAGGCACAGAAATGAAAAGAAACAGAGAGAGAGGGGATTAATAGAGAAAGAAGGAGGGGGGAAGCGTGGCTGGATGACGAGACGCGGAGGCCTGCTGCGCCTTGGTTCCGAGCGGCGGTAACAGTGAGAGGCTGGCGGCTAGATGAGAACCAGCTCAAGTGTCCAGGTGCGCCTGCACCACAGTTTGAGGTCGATCTTGTGCTCGTTGTCGCCAGCATTGACGTCCTCGCCCTCCCACCAGCACTTGCGTGCGGGCTTCTTGTAGAACAGAAGCAGCTTCTGCGCGGCGATCATGCGTGCCTGGTCGGCCGACTCGTCGAGCGGAACGGTGAGGAGGCTGGTGACGGCGGTCTTTGAGGGCTCGACGCGGCGGCAGCCCCATCTGGCGTCGCGCGGGAAGCCGGCGAGGCAGAGCATGTCGATGAGCTGCTGCTCGATGACGGTGGCAGACTGCAGGGCATGGGCCTCATCGGACGCACCCTCGGTGCTCATCTTGACACGCCATTTCTCCAGGTTGCGCTGCATGGTCCGCTCGAGTGGCTCGAAGACGCTGTCGTCCTCGGCCAGCAGCTCGCCGCAGCGGGTCTTGGCCATGTCCAGCGTGAATCCGGGGACATCGCTGACGTCGCCTCTGGTGCGGCCAGACGATGGCACAACAAAGTAGTCCAGCTCCTCACGCAGCACCACCAGCGGGTTGCGGTCGTAGTAGACGACGGGCGTCTCGACTGGCATCCGCGGGACCACCTCGGGCCGGCGGCCTGGCCGCCGTTAGCGGGGACGAGCCGTCCGATACGAAGCGGATGTAGTTAAGCACGGCCGATGACGACGTGCTCTGTGTGGCGGCGCCGCTGCTGCTGTTGAGGTGCGAGCCCGTATCGG